TAACGGTATTCTCATATTGCGACGGGATCCTTTTCTCTTCATTTTTTTTGTAAATTTTAAATTTGATATATTTGATATTTATTTTTTCTCACATATAGGCTATATTAAAATAAACGCAGTTTACTTTAATAGTGTTACGCGTGAGACCTCGGCACCGTCTCATTTAAAATTTTATTTACAACTCAAGCGATCCACCTCAGCTTCTGAATCCCTTCCACAGCGCCACCTACTGTGTCCAATCGTGAACCTAAACCACCCAGGGACAAAAATTGATCAAAATCGGTCCAGCCGTCTATAAACACGTAAAATATATAAAATTATACTCAAGACATTTTCCTTACTAACACTACTTGCGGTAGCACATTCATAAAATAAGCGTGAGTCAGTTGTTTTTCTCCATTCATATATTCTAACGCGTGGGAGGGCAGGATGTATAAGTGTCATTGTGTATTTATGTTTGACCTACTTTGAGATCAAGAATCAAGGTTCCATTTAAATATTTTTATAATGTTTTCTATCGTAATAAATAATAAATATGATAACATAAATTATTTATAGGTCCATGAAGAATTTTAAAATTTCACTTGCAAATAATATAATGTTATTATTTATATTTTAGAGGAAGAATTTTAAAATTTCATTTATGTATAAAATAAAGGTAAATTTGGAGACTTTAGTAAGTGGAAAGAACTGAAATATTAAACTACCTATACAAGTGATGCAAATATCATGCTTGGCTCTCGACTCACACTAAACATTTTTAAAATTAAATTAATTGCCTTCTTATTTTTTTCTATGAGATAAACTCGTACTTCTACTTATGTATGTGGCCAGTAGGTACACACACACATATTGACTAAGTTATGGCAGCTATACTTACTCTACTATAGCATTTGTACTTGCTGACAACTGCATGTATAACTGCCGACATAAGTCGTGAGCACACTTTTTATTGGTCGATACGACGTTGACCACGCTGACGTTCAACGTGATTGGTTCATTAGTCGATTCTCGTCGTCTATTGGTTTCGAACGTATCATTCGGCTTCCGTACACTTCAGATCAATAATTTTAATGACAACTTTTTTTAATAAGTTTATTTTCGTTAATTGTTTTTGTTAGTTCGTTGTTAATTGTTTTTTGTGTATTCCTTGTTATTAATTGTTTTTGTTATTTCTTGTTTTTAATTATTTTTGTTATTATAATTTGAGTGTTCAAATTTTGGTCTCAAAAAAATATGCAGAGATGGAAAAATTCGGTGTTGAATAGACAATCCCGACAAATTTTCTATTCAGTGTTTAGTTACATGAAAAAATTAGGTTCTGCGAAAAACATCATAGACATAAACAATAAACAAGATAAACATACTGCTGAGGCGACTAATGTCTCAGTAGCTACTGTATGGCGCACCGCAACACCAGATTTTATGGAAGGCATATCACCTCTTCCTTCTTCTTAATAAATTAATCAATTCTAACCACCAGGTATACATTAAATACTTTATAGTAGATAATAAAATAACGGACACGAATATCTGCAACATTACTGTATCAAAGTAAAAGTTGATGTGTTCGAGTAAACATTTTCATAAAAGTCGCCGAAAATATTAAATTACGAATTGAAATAATAAAGGTATCCAATAATTTTGCCCGACAGTGTACCTACCTCCCACCACAGTTTATCTGTGCTCACCACTCGTGTCGGCAACTATATTATACGGTTAAATCGAAGTCAAAGTATTATAAATTCCTAATCGGTGGCCGTAGCGATTCGGGCATGCAACACGGTAAGAGGGAAAATATGCACAGTATGTAGACATAAGACTATCGCATCCATGATCAATAATCCGGAGCAATCCAGAAATTGTTTTTATTATAATTTATCCCAGGTCATCCGGCGTCACTGACAAACAGTCTTATTCGAGCTGATTTCATTTTTAAACTTTAAATGGCCAGAAATTACTGCTTCACTGAGGATTCGATGACGCAGTCGAATAATTCAGCATGTTGTTAGTTATCATAACCTTTAATATATTATAATATACATATATACCAATTTGTTCAAATATTATCTTAAGCTAAGTTGATGAAGACGTTCCACACGAAAACGCAGACACTGCCATTTCCTAATAATAAACGCCCACTCGTTGTTGATAATTAAAATGGATTGTGATATTGTTACGTTTAGATTTAACGCGGCTTACGTAATATGGCCGCGTCTTCCAAATTTATTTTAAGAGAGTTTCCATTGTTTTTTTTTTTTTAATGAAGATGGACGCCAACACATTAACTAATTTTACCGCAATTTTGCTAGTCGTGGCTAAGATAAGCACAGATTATTTATTATATCTTGCCCATTCTTTTTACGTTTTTGTTGTGATGAATTCTCACTAATCAGGGTTTAACAGGCTTAAACATTTGTTAACAGGTGGCTAATACTAATTCAAAATTGATTTATGTGCTCTAATGTCTCATGATTTTTTTAAAGTTAAAAATAACTAATAAAATATAAAATATGCAAGAAACTTTTGTTTTATAGAATAAGGTTGACAAACTTGCACATAGTGGGAAGTGGATACTGTAGTTTATAGACCTCTATATCATGTTGGAATGCTTTCTTTCCAGTGAAAAAGGGTCCCCGGTTCTCTGCACTCACCATACGAAACAACAGCTTTAGCTGCTATTTTACGCTGGCATGCTGCGAGTGCGTGATTCTTCCCCGGTCGAGCCCAACCATTCATGCTACAACCATAGTATAGCTGCAGCAGGGCTTTACCACGTATCAAAATGTATCGAATAATTAAAGCCCCGGCTTCAGGAGCCATTATGTGCAAAACTATTTCATTATTAATAGTTCTTAGAAGGCGCCCTTTACTACTTATTAAATGTGATTTTTTAACCTATTTAAGTAGACTAAAGAATAAAAAAAACTGTTGGTAAATCCAAGTCAATTTTTAAAGTATTTTAAATACACACAAGTTTTCACTATTTTATTACTATTACTTCTAATTTTCCGATAATTTTATGTCAAACGTCAATAAAAAAAGTTTGAAAAATCCAAAAGTGCAGGACTCATAACGCTTATGTGATTGTGAAAAAATGTTGAAAAAATACGTGTGGCACTCGGGGACTGCCGTGGCAAAGCTATTGCATAGCATTTTTATCAACTTATGCAATTATAACTATTTATTTATTTTATTCATGGAGTATTATTTTCTTTGATATTTATTCAAGTTTTTGCTTTGATATTAATTCAAGTTACACTCTTTGAGCGTGGTGACTGATAAGAAAACAATTTTTTTTCTTTTATTGAATAAATGAGAAGTTAATATTGTAAAATATTTTTATTATCTTACTATAGATGTAGGTTATTCAGGAATTTTTATCATAGAAACTGGGTTTATGGTAATTAACAAGTTCTTCCGACAAACGATAATTTTCTATAAAGTCTGTGTTTATTAAATACTCTAAATTCACGAAAGTTGTTAGCATGACGACGACTCATGTAAATCCAAAGAATATGCTTCTTGCAGTAAACTATATTAATGTTTAAAATATTTTTATGATCTTATAATACATGCAAATAGTCTAAAACAAAAGTAATACGCACACAAACACCGTTTCGAAGTCTTAGAAATTTCGAGAACTTATACGACTTTAGACGATGTTAGGTTTTCGGGATTTTTTCGTTACGGAATTTCTTGATTCGGTTGCCGCGCTCGATGCCCGCGATAAAAGCTATGCAATAGCTTAAAATTCTCAATCAATAATAGAAAATATATTTTTTATTTTATTATGTTATTATTATTCTGCCGCTATTACTCGACTGTCGCTAATTTCGTGCCCGTAGCCTTAGGCGTATAATTTTTAAATATTGCGTAACAGACAGACATAAAAACATACAATAAAGAAATTAATAGTTATTTTGCAACCATCCGCTAAATAAAATGATGTGTTTTCCCTAGATTGAAGAGCACCTCCTGCCCTCCCTCAATTCGTGCACCACCCCACACCCCAGCCTCAGACCCTAAATTAGCTGTTGCAAAGTACTATTAATATCTTTATTATAATGGATTTCCGCAAAGTAACGGCTGATTCTATCAATTATCTTAAAAACATATATTCGAATTGTCAATGTCCTTTTTGAAAGGCGGCTAAAACCCTGTGAAAATATTCGACTTATTTTGTTTGTTGCCTGTGTGTATAATTGTAGTCTTGAAAATTTTCACAAGCTTGCATTCCACTGCCTCTCTTTTTTGTCAGATTCTACACATCTTCGAAATATTTTTGATGATTTTATTCAGGTGAACTTTTTGTTTGATTTATTTTTCCTGTCTAATCTGAATACAAAAAAAACATCTGTCACCCATAAGAAAAGTTATATTTGCCGCCAATATCATATTCAATGATACTGGCGTCAAATATAAAAATTATATTTTTTTTATGGTCACGAACCCCAGCATTCATCAATTAATAGAACGCGAAAGTAGCTATCGCAATCGCTGCCAGGTAATCCATTGCGTTTTAAAAATTGTGACATGTGCCTTTAATAATTAAATAAAAAAACAGAATTTAAATTTCAAAAATTCAACACAAATTTTGGGAGCTATTGTTTTCAAAATATTTTTCTGAACCTTGTAAAATTAAGTGTTTATAATTATTTAAGTCTATATTTTTTGTTTCAGGTAGTGAATCACATGGCTCCTGCTTGGTCCATACGTAAAAATATGTTCCAGATATTATGATAACTAAGTTTTAAAGAATATCACCATATGAATGCATCGCGTAAAAATAACTTGCCGTGTAAATAAGCAGATTTTGTACAATTTATACATTTATCAACGTGTTTTTAAATAATTACGATTTGCAATTGCTTAAAAAAGTTTTTCGTAAACAATGTCGTAAAGTGAAAAATAAAATGACGGTGATCCAATAACTGCGCCAGATACTTCCGTCGTATAGACTCATATAAATTGATTGGAAAATTACGAAAGACGCCAAAATGTCGTCGCGTACAGGACACCGCGGAACGTCCGTGGCGACTAGCCAGCGGAAATTTCGGTCTCGATCCGCACCAAGGTACGATATGGAGAAGAAAGCCAAGAAGAAAGAGCTCCGGGCGTCAGGAGCCAACAGCCTGGTCTCCATACCCAACAGCATGAAACTAATGATGCTCAACAGTGGCCTCATATCCTTTGGTATGCACTTTTTATTCTATTAAGTAATTTGTAACCGGAACTGTAATGCAAAGCAATTCTTAATTATTTTCTTATTTTTTAAAAGAATTTCTGTGACATTCTGAGAAGAAAGAAATGTAAAATGGATATAAATCAATGTATTCCTAACTATTAAATTGAACGACAATTTCATTTTTTTTTTGAGCTAGTGCTTAGTTTATCTAGCCACTACACGTAAAATAAACTTATCACGGAATGGCGAAAAGGTATATGTTTTACAAATAAATTCACTATTACAAAACTGCTTATCTAAAAAATTTTAAATTTCACCCCCAATACGGGCATGAGTTTGTCCTCTATATACAAAAAAATAAAGGGGGATCGTTAGTCAAAAATAAAAGTTATTGGAGTCCAAACTTACAAGATGTGGGACACCAGCTGCAAAAGTGTGGGTATTCCGAGGATATACACTTCCGGCTTATGATGCATATATTTTCGGAAAGAGCTTTCTGAGACGTCGCAAGCGACACCTTCAATTCCAGCCGCAGACTCCTGGTTCGCAAAACCACCTACCACGTGGTTTTCGTTTTCCTATAATAACTCAGGTGACCTTTATCCAAAAATTCCAAATTTTTGGAGAGTGATGCGTCCCCAGGTGGCGCACAAAATCACTTAAAAATAGCAGGTTGTGGCGACTAAACGACCGCCGCAAATGATTTACTGTTTTGCTAATATGAGAAAAAACGCTTTTTCACTTAAAAAATCACTAAAAATTGTTTTGCGGCCAAAAAAATTACACCACTAGATGCGTCTCGTTAATACGAACACTGAAATCTGTTAGCTTTTTACCACTTTTCGAATTTTTAACTGCGGGAGCGTCACAGTTTCGTGGCGTTCCGCTTTGTTTCCTTGTACTTGTACGTGCCCTTTTGTAGTTTATAGCTTTATACTATGATATATTATCTATGCGGAGGGATAAGTTTATCTCCTATTTTATCTACCGTCGATATTATATCCACCATAGGCCCATGTTCGCAGGGTGGATAGAGATAAGCAAACCTGCATAGGGATAAGTCAATTTTATCCCTTGTCAGTAAGGGATAAAAATTTTGTCTCCTGTCCATGCTAGCCCGGCAGGTGGACTACCTGATGGTATGTGAATGGTGTGGCCCGTAAACATCCACATTTATCTTCAACTAAGGATCAAATTGCAAATGCGTTGTCTCCCCTGAGGACTAAGGTGGAATGCCTCGATTCCTGTAAAAAAGGGTTACCGGATCTCTACACTCGCCATGCGAAACACAGCAGTATTAATCTGCTATTTTACGCTGGTATTCTGTGAGTGTAAATCCGATTATTTTTTCATAAAATTAAGGTGATAAACGAACTTACCGTCCAGTTGTTGGTAAGCGGCTGTTACAGCTTAAAAACACCTGCAAGCAACTTCCTACAAAGTAGACTAAAGTTTGTGTAAATATGCAGTGTCACCCCCAAGATTAAGATCCAATGCCTCACAACCTGTAATACATATATACTCGATATCCTTCAAACCGAACTACTAAGTAGCAGCAGCAGTGAAACTGTATCCCTGTACTAGGATTGTGGATGCCTATAACATTGGAATAGGCATTTTTGAATGGACATCCTTCTATTTGCAAGACCTACGTCTATTAATCAGCTCAACCCAAATTCAACTTCAATTTTTTTTAATCATCGTTAAAATCGCCTTTTAATTTTCAAAACAGTTTCGTACCTACTACGTTGCATACCAAACATTAAAGTTGCCAAGTCAAAAAGGAGCGTACACAGAGCGTACACACTTAAAATCTGCATGAACCTAAAATAGCCGCGTTCCAGATCTAGACAGAATTTTCCATTAGGCAACACTGCGTTCTGAACGTAACAGTTACTTTATTAGCTTTGGTAAAATAACGAAAGTTATAGATTCCAGAAAATTCGAGCAATTGCTAAGTTGAATTTTGTGAGTATAAATATTTTTCGATGCTCAGTTTATTTAAAAGTTCGACTTGTTAAAGTAAATTGGATATAACGACTGAAAACGTTTTAATTTTCTGTCTATTTTTGGTATAATTACGAAGAGTTGTTATTTTTGCTATATCAATATAAGCACAATTTTGTCAGATTTATTTATTAATTTAAAGAACCAAATCTTAATATATACAAATTACGTGTCAAGATGTTTGTCCGCGATGGACTCATACACTACTTAACCGATTTTAATCAAATTTGCACACCGTGTGCAATTTGGTCCAACTTGAGAGATAGGATAGTTTTTTTGCCCATGAGTGACCCACATATTTTTGTGCGATTTTAAGGATTTTTAATATGACATGACAAAGGGTAAAAGGTCGTCGAAAAAAGCAGAACAACGTCTGCCAGGCAAGCTAGTGTTATATACAGCGGACTTAATGTCATATAGCATACTCTGACCGGCAACCCGGGGTGCAAGACTTTTATTAGGTTGTGGGAAAGCTGTGTACTGAATTTAACAGTACTAAATTTAACAGTACTGAATTTAACAGTACTGAATTTAACAGTACTAAATTTAAAAGTACTGAATTTAACAGTACAAAATTTAACAGTACTGAATTTAGCAGTACTAAATTTAACATTACTAAATTTAACAGTACTAAATTTAACGGTACTAAATTAGGTTGTGGGACTCTTTTTCTGCTTAGGAGTCTGTCTGGGCTAGTAGCAGAATCCTACCTATTGCTGCCGGCAAATAGCAGTTCTTGCGCTGCTGTGCTCCGATCTAAAGGGTGAAGAGAGCCAGTTTAATTACAGGCTGTTGCTTTTACATCCTATCCCAAACCTGACAAAGCATCTTTCTTCCTTCTGGCCTTCTTTGTTTGAAGTTGCCTGCGGGTGTCCATGGGCTGGAATTAAGTACTTACCATCAGGTATACTGTAAGTTCGTTTGTCACTTTAGTTTCATAAAAAAATAACAGGAGCAAGCTGAGTTCAATGCCCGTGGGCACAAATTACTATATTTTCATTCATTCATTACAGCCCTTCCCAAGTTCACTACTGAACATAGGCTTCCCCCAAGGTATGCCACAAAGCACGGTCTTGAGCCACCTGCATCCATCGACATCCTGCATGTCTTACCACTCCATCTAGTGGGAGATCGTCCTAGACTTAGCCTACAAGTACGAGGCTGCCACTCGAAAACCTTTTTCCCCAACGGTTATCGGTTCTACGAGCTATATTGCCGGCCTATTGCCACTTCAGCTTACTAATCCTTTGGGCTATGTCGGTCACTCTAGTTCTACTGCGGATATCCTAATTTCTAAGTCTATCCAGAGGGAAACCCTTAGCATAGTCCTCTCCATAACTCGCTGAGCGACTTTGAGCGTCCTCTTACGGCCAGCAGTGAAGGACCACGTCCCAGTACCATAGGTCGTCACTAGCAACTCGCAATCACTATCTTATTAATTAGATATTGTTAAATGCAATCAATGTGCTGATTCAATTTGTTCTCACATAACGCTTAAAAAACTTGCAACTTAAAAGTTGCTTGAAATAATACTAATTTTTACGGAATTTATCGCGTATATTTAACTTTTTTACCCGACGTTTCGAGAGCTTTACAGCACCCATGGTCACGGGAAGGACTGAGATGTTCAACGTCCAGCTGTCATAGTTAACCGCGGTTACCATAGATTAAAATTTAACTTTTGTTCCGATCTACACAGTATGAACTTATGGTATCATGGAGTCTTGCAGTTGTATGCTTGGGTTGGGATTTAATTTTATTTATTATAGGATCCCAAGCAGATGGTAGCACCCAGCCATCTTCTCTATTGAAATTAGGATGTTTTTTGATTTCAATAGCCTCGCGAATCATCCTTGGAAGGAATCGGAGCTCGGCAGCCAGGTGTTTACTGTCACAGATCATCATACATGTCACAGATGTTTCAGAGAGCACGAGGGATCTGTGACAGTAAACACCTGGCTGCCGAGCTCCAACATGTCAAGCAAGTTTTGCATGACAACAAGCTTCGGGTCCCGCGCCTACGTCACAGAGAACGAGTGAAGCCGGCCACAGTCGAGCGTGTACCTGCTGTACTGCCGTATGTTAGAGGAGTCACTGACAAGATTGGCTACATCTTGAAGCGCGCTTCCATCAAAACATACTTCAAGCCGCCGAAGAAGATTGGTCAGTTTTTACCATCAGTCAAGTGTAACGTCCCTCTGCAAGATGCAGGAGTGTACAAGCTTGATTGTGAATGTGGTCTCTCCTACATAGGACAAACTAAAAGATCAATTAAAACCCGCGTCAAAGAACATATAGCTGATGTGAAGAATCGACGCTCCGGGAAGTCTGCAGTCTGTGAACATGTACAGGATCGCCCCCGTCACTACATCAGATTTGATAGACCACAAATCCTCGCTAAAGAACACCGATTCCTTCCAAGGATGATTCGCGAGGCTATTGAAATCAAAAAACATCCTAATTTCAATAGAGAAGATGGCTGGGTGCTACCATCTGCTTGGGATCCTATAATAAATAAAATTAAATCCCAACCCAAGCATACAACTGCAAGACTCCATGATACCATAAGTTCATACTGTGTAGATCGGAACAAAAGTTAAATTTTAATCTATGGTAACCGCGGTTAACTATGACAGCTGGACGTTGAACATCTCAGTCCTTCCCGTGACCATGGGTGCTGTAAAGCTCTCGAAACGTCGGGTAAAAAAGTTAAATATACGCGATAAATTCCGTAAAAATTAGTATTATTTCAATGTGTAGTGTTCGCGTAAATATAAGAAATCATTAAAAGTTGCTTATTTGAGAAATTGAATATTCGAAAACATCTAGTCTGCCAACTCGTATTAGGTAACTGCGACGGTCTCTTTCCTGCCCTAAAACTCCTTTAAAAAAAGACGATAGTTTACTGCGATTACTGGTTTCAGTCGGTGCAAACGCGGCGTTGTAGTTAGTCCCGTATGTATCATAAGATGCGATAGAGGGAAACAAACCAGGAGATTGG